ACACTCCCTAAATCCTGGGAGAAAGCCAACATTATATTAATCCACAAAGAAGGCACGGATCCAACATAATGATTACAAAATTTTTACAACAATTCTGGCAGACAGATTAAAAACATTTTTAAAAGATTGGATATCTAAAGAACAGGTTGGCTTTCTCCCTAACAGGCAGATAAAAGACAACACAAGAATATTAACAGACGTTTTAGAATACTATGAGAAGAACAAGTGGGTTTTGAAGATAATAAAAAATGGTTACTTTATTGAATTTAAGCAGTTGCCTCCTGTTGGGCGACTAAGAGTCACTACACCATCTCCTTTACTACAAGAGGAGATTGACAAGCTCCTTTCAAAGGGAGCCATTTCTCCATTGCCCACTGAAGTTCAGAAGTTTTGTTTTTACTCGAGATACTTTTTAGTATCTAAAAAAGGTGGAGGCCAGAGGCCAATTTTAGATTTGAGGGATGTAAATTCCTACATAGAGCCTAAGAAATTTCATTGAAGATACTGTTACCATTGCTGAATAAAGGTGATTGGTACGCAACGGTTGATCTTAAGGATGCTTATTTCCATATTTCAATACATAGAGAGCATAGGAGATATCTGGCTTTTATGGTGGGAGGCCAAGCTTATAGTTTCAATGACTTGGCTTTCGTATTAGCAACCGCGCCACGGGTGTTTACTAAGTGTATGGCAGCGGTTGCAGCTCACCTACACACTTCAGGTATTACGGTTTATCCATACATAGACGACTGGGTTATTGTGGCTAGAACAAAAGAGACTCTGGAAGACCATGTCAAAAAAACACTATGTTTTCTCCAGTCCCTAGGTCTCATCGTGAATTGGGAGAAGTCCCAGCTCACGCTGACAAGAAGAATCCAGTTTATTGGCGCAATACTGGATTCGGAGTTGGAGAGTGCGTACCTACCTGACGACCATTTCAAAAACCTAAAAAAGCTGATTCTTCAAGTGTTTTGGGAGAAAAGAGTAAATGCCAGAACTGTCCAAGTCATTCTGGGGCACATGGCATCCACTACAGCGGTAACCCCTTATGCACGGCTGAACATGAGATTACTACAGTCATGGTTCCTTTCTTTATTCAATCCACTAACGCACAGACCATATGTACTCCCATCATTGCCTGGGGAAGTGCGGACATCCCTAGTTTGGTGGTTGAAGCACAGCAATGTCTGTGCGGGCCTGCCTTTCCAAGAGGTTATCGCCTCCAAGACCATGACAACAGACTCCTCACTTATAGGGTGGGGAGCACATGTGGACGACCTCACAGCTCAAGGAAAATGGACACCTCTAGAATCCACTCTACACATAAACCAGTTGGAACTGTTAGCAGTGGAGAAGGCATTAAAAGCCTTCGAGTTAATACTCACCAATCGGGTCCTCCAAGTACTCAGACAATACTACTGTGATGTTTTATATCAACAAACAGGGAGGCACACACTCTCCCACATTGCTGACACTGACTCTGAGTATATGGCACTGGTGTGTGGAAAGAAACATTCATCTCATCACAGTCCACCTACCAGGACAACAAAACACTCTAGCAGGTTTTTTAAGCAGAAGTCCACTAGGTCATCACGAGTGGTCTCTGAACGAGGACGTGACATCACAACTCTTCAAGGAGTGGGCAACCCCCACGATAGATCTGTTTGCGTCACTGCACAACAGTGTCGCCAATTCTGTGCCAGACAGGACAGAGACTTGGCGCAGGGCTGCATGAGGGACGCCTTCTCAATGCATTGGGGGGCCCAGGAGGTGTATGTGTTCCCGCCATTTCCCCTGATATTGAGGGTGGTGTCGAAACTGTGCCGCGAAAGGGCCAGAGGGCTTCTGATCACTCCTTGTTGGCCGCGCCAGCCGTGGTTCCCGTTGATTCTGCAGTTATCCAGGGGGAAGTTCAAGCCTCTCCCATACAGAGCGGACCTGTTGACAACTCAGGACAACTGTGTCCTTTATCCGGATGTTCAGGGTCTCAGACTAACTGCTTGGAGAATACTCCCGCTCCAGGAGTATTAGACCTGTCTCTGTCAAAAGACGTGAGAGATGTTTTAGAAGCTGCGCAGAGGGCCTCCACCAAAAGATCATATCTTTATAAATGGACAAGGTTTACAAAATTTGCCCAAGAAAAGGGCATGGACCCATGTACGGCTTCTACGACAATAGTATTAGAATTTTTAATGCATCTTGCCAACCAAGGTCTGGCCCTGTCATCTTTGAAGTGCTACTTAGCGGCCTTATCTTGGTTTCGCAGGAGAGCAGGTTTACCATCTTGTTTTGGAGACCCTCTGGTATCTCAATTTATGAAAGGTTTTAGAAATATTAGACCTCCAATCACTCCAGTTGTTCCGGTTTGGAGTCTTGAAATAGTGCTTGCAGCACTGTCAAAGCCGCCGTTTGAACCAATGGTGACAACAGACTTATCCTTTTTGTCCTGGAAAACAGCATTCCTAGTTGTAATTACTTCGGCTCGTAGGGCTAGTGAGCTCTGTGCATTGAGGTGTGATGAGCCGTACTTACAGATGCATAGGGACAGAGTAGTGTTGAGAACAGATTTGGCTTTCCTTCCAAAGGTGGCTATGAAATTTCATCTTTCCCAAGAGATAGTGTTGCCAGCCCTATTCCAAAACCCGACTTCACCTTTGGAAAGGGTTTTACATTTACTGGATGTCAGGAGAGCTCTAGCCTTTTACTTAGATAGAACATCGGGTAACAGGAAATCCCCGAGATTATTTTTGAAGTACCGCAGGGACTCCATTGGTCTCCCAGTATCATCCCAACGCTTGTCATCTTGGATTGTGTTGACCATTCATAAGGCTTACAGTATGGCGGGTAAAGACTTACCTTTACAGGTGAAGGCACATTCCACGAGATCGGTGGCTACTTCGACGGCCTTCCTGAGAGGAGTTCCGTTGGACGTGGTGTGTAGAGCAGTGACCTGGTCTACTCCTTCAACTTTTGTGACACATTACAAACTGGATGTGGCATCGAAGAGGGATGCAGCTTTCGGCCGGGCTGTTCTTTTTTCAGCTGTGGCATGACACCCTCCACCGAGGTTAGCAGCTCGCTAGTCTACCACATGTGTGATTCACAGGCTAGCCACGCGGAGAAAATATAGGTTGCTTACCTGTAAACATAGTTTCCCGAGTGGTAGCCTGTGAATTCACACATCCCCGCCCGTCCTCCCCACTCTGTGGTCATGCCCAGAATTTCTGACTGCACTTTGGGCGCAAAGGGCGGGGCTACTCTAACGGTCAGTTGGGAGTTAGCTCGTGAATGTCTGTTGCTGCCTGCGCGCGCAGGAATTACTCGGGAAACTATGTTTACAGGTAAGCAACCCATATTTATAGATAGAGTGGACATCATATCAGCAATCAGAAGACAGATTTATGTCCTTTTCTCCTTGGTGGATTTCTTGCAATAAGGAAAAATGCATGTAACATTGGGGGGGGGATATGGTTGTGAGCCGAGCATAACCACAGTAACCTCCCTTACCTCATTGCCTATTGCCTACATACTATTTTCTCATATCTAAGCTTAATTCCAGATATGAGAAAGCGCTAATGAAAAAGCGCTAGGGTAAATATATTCATTCAAAACCAATTCTACACATAAGGATTTTATCTATGTGTGTTTTGTACTGACCTGAGATTAAACTAGAAGGCACTCTTGGAGACCCAAAGACCACACCATCCCATTTTTGTTTTTTCTGAAGACCTAGGTGTTACATTGAACCCTTAATGTTGTAGTATTTAATGATTGCATGTGAAGAGCTATATCGAAAATGGAGGAAACGGGAAATCATCAAAGAGGAATATAAACATATCGCCTGTAAATGTAGTGAGAAAGTCAGTAAAGCTGAAACTCAAAATGAACCGAGGCTTGCTAGTTAGGTACTTATGAAGTGGTTGAATTACCACCTCTCAGAAGTTATTTGGCTTTCTGTTCCTATGTGACAGGGGATTAGACTAGGTGGCCCTTTGGATACATCCACATATATAATTTTGTGAGCAGATTAATTGATAATTGAAATATAATTATTATGTTTATTATTACCCCATTTTTTCTCTCCACAAAGGAGATTTAAAGTGGCTTACATTAAAAACATATCAATTAAACATTAAAACAGAAATAAGTATCAATAGTATTTAAAAAATCACTGTCAAAATCCATAAAAACTGATTACAAACATATTCAAAGCTAAGACCACAGTACCCCCTCACTTTATCTTAAAAACCATCTTTAAAAGCCTGCCTGAATAAAAAGGTTTGAGCCTGCTACTGGAAGGACAGCAGGGAGGGGGCAATTCCGTCTACCCTGTTCAAAAGCAGCCTCACGTAGAGCATGCTACAGTAATCCAGAAAGGCTATAACTAAGGCATGTACCACCATGTCCAGATATGGCTTCTCAAGGAACTGATGCAGTTGGTGCACAAGTTTTAATTGTTCAAAGGCTCTCCTGGCCACCGCAGACACCTAGACCTCCAGGTTCAGAGCTGAATCCAAAAATACTGCAGACCTGTGTCTTCAGAAGGAGTGTAACCCCATTCAGCACTGTCTGGATCCCTATTTCCTGGGCTGCCTTCCAACTGACCAGGAGCATGTGTAGTGTCTGGATTAAGTTTCAGTTTGTTTGCCCTCATCCAGTCGATTACTGATGACAGACACTGGTTTAGGGTCAAGACAGCTTCTGTGGATTTAGGTGAGAAAGAGTAGAGTTGGGTGTCATCTGCATATACGTGCATATATAATGCTGTGTCAAGGCTGGTCACAAATTGAGCACTATATATGGAATTTCCATGTCTTTGGCAACACAGTCAAATAAGTGAATCTGCAGTGAATAAGCATGAATTTTTGTATGCATTTATGTGTATGTAGTGTTTTATAGACAGGTGTATTATGTGAGATACATGTTGTCATGAAAATATTATTTTACAAAAAAATTAGCAGTGCGTTTTTATTCAGTAAGAGTTTTCCCCCCAAATATAGGCAAGTTATCAGAAGCAATATAACAGTGGAATGTTAAACCAAGAGGCTGCTCAAACATTAATAGGTGCAGCAGAAAGCTATGTTGATATTGAAGGAAAGTAAGTCTTTCAGTTTATACAATATACTTGTTTTTAAAATCTTCTATATATCATTTCTTAAATGTTGACTATAATTAACTGCCCATGTATTTATTGAATTGAAATATTCCGGTCTGCCAAAGAATGAGCGCAGAAATATATTAATTCATTGTCTGTGTTTCTGCTATATAGCTATTCTTTTAGGCTTTATTTCCAGAATATGGCTATCAGATTTACTTCTATATTTGTGATGTCTTGATGCTATTCCATTTAGAATGTACATAGGAGTTCTAGTACTTTCTTAACAACTTTTTTCTGGTATTGCAGAACTACATAACCATAAATCTCATTGGATGTTAACAGATTGTTAGTGTTCAGCTTGGTATATTTTCTGTATGTATATCAAAGAAACATTTCTTCTTCTTCATGGTCTTTGAATCACACAATTGGGTATTATCATGCATGTGCAGAGCACTGTTTGAAACCTTCTAGAATCACTAGAGAGGAAAAGATTTAGCGGTAACTCACACCCTCCTGAGGCCATATAAGGCCTGGTTGCCGCCAAGACTCTTCAGTTCCTTTTGTCAGTCCTACAGCTGGTACAGGAAACTTTGCTTGTCAAGGTTGTCTTCGGTTTTTAGCATTTGCTGTTGGATTCCTTTTTGCCTTCATTGGGTAGTGACTTTGGTCTGACCCGTGGTTGGTCTTTGACCTCTTGAGGCTGATGTTTTGTTGCTCCTGCTCCCTCTTCTAACTTTTTGTTCCATAAGTATGGTGTTTGCCCTAGTCCATGATGGCTTCCACCACTCGCTTTAAGCAAGCAATGTTCAGGCAAATTGCCTGATATAGGTGGACACTCTAAGTGCCTCTCTTTGGGTGAAGGGAGTTCCATTCATGCTTTTATCCATTGCCAGCCTTTCATGCCTCATGTACAAAAAAATAGATGACCTGCTGTTTCGCGGTGCCTAACAGGCTGTTTCTTTGGCAGCGTACCTTTCCTTCTCTCCATACTTGTTACAATGAAATTGTTTTGGTCCAATCCGCTGTCAGTGCCTCCTACGTCTCTGAAATAGAAACTGGGTACTATGTTAAGGACCCTGACCTCCCTTGGCTGTCACACTACCACAACTCCATCATCGTGGATGAAGCTCAGTCAAAATCAAGCCAGTGTTACATGTGGCCCCATCAAATAGGAAAAGAAGATTGACATAATTGGCAGGAAAGTCTATTCTGGGGCAAGCCTCTTGGCATGTATTTCCACTTACGGCACAACCAGACCTTATATAGCTTCAGGATGGTGGGTGAAGTTACTGTCAAAACTTTTTTTGCCTAGCGATTCTAAGAGGTTTCGAGCAGTGCTCTGCACATATGCAAAAATATCCAATTGCGGGAATTCAAAGAGGGCCACTAAAAGAATTACAGTTACAGGTAAGCAACCCGTCCTTCTTCATGGCTTCTGCTTGCTGTCTGTTCCATCTCCTAGGAAAGTTCTAGTGAGTTCCAAGGTCTGAAGCCAGGCTGAAACTTTTATGCATTTCAGAATCTTTCTCTCAGATCCCAAATTTCCTGCAAAGAAAAGTCCACTCAGATAGCTAGAAAAATAAGCTATCTTGAAGTGGCTAGATTTCACCAAAAAAAATCTGATTTTAAAGAAATCTTTATTTTTTCTATTAAGTATTGAGGTGGCGCTTGAGGTTGCAGTGTATTTTAAAAATAAATGGGTTTTCCTGGATGTCCTGGAGACATCCAATAAAGCCAATTCAATCCAATTTTGGACATTGAACAAGGTTTGGGGAGTCTAGATAGGCCAATAGCCATAAAAAGCCATGCCATGCCGTATACTTTGCCCACTTTTACAATAGGGAGTTATGTTTGGTTTTCTCTGAATGAATTGTGGTTGGTCATTGTCATTGGAGAATCCCCACTTCACCACGCTTTATGAAATGAGATTTCCTTGCACCTGATTTCCTTACTTTCCTGCAGATTTTATACTGAAACTTAAGATACTTTGATAAATTTTGTTGGGTGGCAGAATAAAAATGAATAAAAAGTAAACGTTGAATTTCCTCGGAACAAAATCATGCAGGATTACACTTCTAATGCTTTCACTTGGGCACCAAATTTGTTAATCATAAACAACCAGTTTTATCTGTAGTTGTGACTGTGTTTTATGCATTTTCATTTTATTATGTGATTTTATATGTATGGACAGTTGTGTGGGTGATTGTATGTGTAAGCGATTGTAATTTCATGTTTTTATTATTTTCAGTTCTATGTATCGTTTATTTTATGTGCGGCATTTTGAAGTGCTTTGTAAGTTGCCCCAAGTCCCTTTGGAAAGATGATGGCGGGATGCAAATAATTTTTTTTATTATTTTATAAAGATGCTTCTTGTTACCTGCTTATTTCAACCTATGATTCCATATTAATACTGCATTCTAATAATTTTGGTAAAGTTATTCCACATTTGAGGGGCTATGTAATACTCTGTTTACAGTTATATGTTACTTTAAATATTCTAGGTTTATGAATATTCATGAAGTAAAGACATATTGGGAAAGCAAAGGAATGCTGGTGACGATGAAGAAATGGCTATCTGATTGGGTTTACAATGTGAAAGACGAAATAACAAAGCCACCAAAGTTAGTATAATGTTTAGTAAACTATAATAATGCACATTGCTCAGAATTAGAAGTCTGAATCTTGGCATATGAATTTGATTAAGACAGATGTTAGGGTTTGTATTATGTCTAGGTTGGTGGGAAAAACGAACGCCTAATGGCACAAGAGGTAAGGCCTCAATGCTAGGATTAATGGTTCTAGAACAGGCATGGGCAAAGTTCAGCTCGCCAGGTGTTTTGGACTTCAACTCCCACAATTCCTAACAGCTGGTAGCCTGGGATTTCTGGGAGTTATTATTATTATTATTATTATTATTATTATTATTAACTTTATTTGTACCCCGCTAGCATCTCCCGAAGGACTCGATGCGGCTTACAAAGGCCAAGGCCTCAAAATACAACATAACAATACAACACCTAAAGCAAATTAAAAACAATTATAGCAATATTAAACAACAAGCAATAAACAATACATAAAGACACTATAAAACTGGGCCGGGCCAGAGTAATGGGTACAGGATTAAAAGTGCTGATGTGACAGGTGAAATGTAAGGATTATAGGGTAAGTGCAGTGTGCGGTGTGCAGCAATCTTAGTTCTAATAAAGTGCTTCTGGGACTTGTTATTGGAGATTCCTATTCTGGAAAGGCACATCGGAACAGCCAGGTCTTCAAGTTCTTTCTAAAGACTGCCAATGTAGGGGCCTGTCTAAGATCTTTTGGGAGGGTGTTCCAGAGTCGGGGGGCCACCACAGAAAAAGCCCTGGGAGTTGAAGTCCAAAACACTTGGAGGGCTGAAGTTTATCCATGCCTGTTTTAGAACCTTTCCAAAATTACTCCGTTTCATTGTTGGTGCCACTGTGTATGCAGAGCAGAATTAATGCAGAGTTCAAAGAGGCAAGCTCTTGTGTGTTCTATGGTGGTGGTGAAAGATGTTGATAAATTATTATTGGAATTAAAAACCTGCTAGATCCTTAATGCCAGTCAAAGCAGATGTGCCTATCTTAGAATTATGAGTTTGAAAGAACCAAATTGCAGGCAGAGAAATAAGGTTAGAATCTTCAGCGGGAAACACAGTTATTAAAGAAATACATTCCTAGATAGAGGCAGTCCGCTTCTTCCTAAACCAGTCCACAACCTTGATATTTCTAGTTATTGAAGGAGGTCAACTAGAGAAAACATTGTGATGCATGATTATATGTAAAAATTAGACTAATAATATTGCTCTAGAAGTACTAAAATACTCTGTTCTGAACAACAAACCCCAAATCTTTTTTCTTCTTCCTGTACAGAAACAAGTTTTTGAGGATGTGTCACCAAATAGTGTTTATGGAAGAGTTTGAATATATAAGTACCTTGATAACATATTTGAACAGTGTTCCTATTATTCTTAACTTTATATCGAGTGTGAATGAAGAATATCTTCCACAACTAAGAATGTGCAACTATTACTTTCTGTGTCTATACATAGGAGAAGCTATCCTGAAGGTATTAATTATGTAATAAAATGCTTATATCAGTTGTAATTTTAATTGCTTTTAAAATATGTTTACAAAATAGTATATGATCCTGGGATTCAGGGTTCATTTTCCTACTTTGAACCCATAAAACCTACTGGGTAAACTTGAACCATACACATTCAGCCTCAGAGGACGGCAATGATAAACTTCTTTTGAACAAATCTTGCCAAGAAAAGCCTAGTACAGGATGACCATAAGTTGGAAACTACTTGAAGACACACAACAACAAAAAATTAAATTGCATTTGACAAATAATGTGAAATTTAAAATATTAAAAATGTGAAATGGTACACTGCTCTCCTTATAATGGTATCACTTTTTTACTTCTTTCTGATTTTGTTTTTATTGATATTATTTGCGGCAATTACAATTCTTTACACCTAGTTGCTGATCCAGATCTTATCATTGATTGTACTGGCCCGCACTTTGATTGATTGTTATGATAGATATCCAGCCCGCAGATTCCACTGCTTTTTAGGAATTTTATGGTTTTCAAATTTTTGTGATTTTATTGATGAGGTTTTTATGTGCTGTTGATTGTACTTGTGTCATTGGGTTTGTGCTTATGTATTGTTGTCTGCGTGTGGCACTTGGAGTGCTTCTGTGAGCTGCCCCCCGAGTCCTTTTGGGGGGATGGTGGCGGAGTAAAAATAAAGAATTATTATTATTATTATTATTATTATTATTATTATTATCCCATTCAAGGTTGCAGACATGTCCATGAAGAACTTTATATCATAAGTCACTCCTCCAAGGCATCTGTAATAATTGCGTGTTCCAATGAACACTTAGTCATGGCTTTTTGACATTTTCTGGAGACAATAGGACACATATGCCATATTTACGTGAATCTAAGATGCACCTTTTTTGGCTAAATGAACATGCCAAAATTGTGGTGTGCCTTAGATTCGTGTAATATGGTAAAGGGCAAGTGAGGGAACAAAGGAGAGGCAACGGGAGTGCTCAGGATCTAGTTGAGGCTGGTGCAAGGAAGGTGGCCTCAGCAGCAGAAGAAGGCGGCCCTGGCTTTCGTGAGCGGAGGTGAAGGGTGCAGGTCTCGGGGGCGGAGGAGGAGGCGATGTATTGTTGAGGCACTACTACTTCCTCTCTTGTGCTCGCATTCATCTACCTGTCCTTTTAAACCTTCTGTCCTTTCCATCTTTCCCTCCCTTTCTGGATCTCGCAAGGTGGGGTGAAGGGGGTGTGCCTCAGGAGTGGAGGAAGAGGCAGTAGCAATGTTTTGGGGCATTCATGTGCTCCTTCTGCCTCCTGTGTGTGCATTTTCTGTCCTTCCCATCTTTCCCTCCCTATTGTTTCTTCCTTCCTTTCTCCCTTTTTTCCACCATTCCTTCTCTCTTCCTTTCCTTTATTCTTTCCTCCTTTTATCCTCTTGTCATCCATGTCCCCCTCGTCCTTTTTCTTTCCTGCCTATCTCTTTCCTTATCCTCTTTCCATCCCTCTGTCTCTTTTCGTTTTCTTTTGTCCCTTACTGCTTTCCTTCTTACTCATTTTCCTTTTGTGTACTGTATTGGAATTGGCTATCTTTAAAAAATGTTTCAATATTTTATAGAAGTTAATCATATTTCTGAAGTGTCTTCCATAGTAAGACTTGATCTGCAACTGTGAGGATCTAGCAATACTATGCAGCTAAAATATTCAGAAATCAAAGGTCTTCCAGACTGGAAATTTGTAGAGCTTTATTTCTCATTCCAAATTTTCTTTTTAAGGCCATGTAATTATTTTTTCTTTTCCTCTCTCATCCTTTTCTTTCTTCATCATTTCTTCCTTTCTTTCCTCTTTTCCTCTTCCTTCTTCTTTTTTCATCCATCTTATCCTTTATTCCTTCTCATCCCCCTTTTCTCTTTTCCTCTCTTATCCTTTTCTTTCTTCCTCTGTTTTTCCTTTCTCCTTTTCCTTTATTTCCTCTTTCCCTCTTCCCTTCTTTTCTTTCTTCCCATTTTTATGTATTCTAAAATATTATTCACTAGCGGAGAATTGCAGAGATGTGTGTGAGAAATTCAAGAAGATTTTCTATTCATTCATATTGCCCGTGTCTTTACTCCATTTCATTTGTATATATAAGTTTCAAGCTGCAACTTGTAGTATATAAAAGACCGCTCTTACAATAATTTTCATTATATAAATGCCTTGTGTATTGATCGAAAGGATTGCTGAGAGTTTAAAAACTTCCTGAGTTGTGTTTTCTCTCTCACTGTTTATAGCTACAGTGCTATGCTAATAATCAAGATACTATATTTTCATATGTGATACAAATTAGTATGTGAATGCATTTTCCTAAATATTTGGTTTATGTTAATGTCTACTGGATATTTAATGTGATATTTGTTTTCAACAGGCTTTTGCAATGGGGAGGACCTATATCTATTACCATTGGAATCAGTTTGATCTTATAATAATAGTAGTTGGAATCATAGATGTCATGATTATTAATCTCTTTAAAAATATGACCCCATCATACCCTATGATAAATACAATCAGAATATTTCGATTTGGTCGCCTTTTAAGAGTTTTCCGTCTCTTTAAGGTAAATGGGCATTTCTGTCTTACTTCTGCAATGTGGTGTCAAGCAGTTCAAGTTGAAAACTTAATATTTTGTTTGTTTCTAATCTAGATTTAAAAATTAATTTCAAACAAATTGAAATGTTTTTTATTCAGTAACATTTGCTTAGTTTAAATCCATTCATTAGCATACTGTTTTTTAAAGTGGATAACCTAGTAATAACTGAACTCATTAGGGTGATGGCTTGACCATTCTTTCTGCTTGTTCTCTGGCACTGAACAAAAAGACTCACCCAGGTAAGTGTCATGTCCTGAATATTTGGAACAGCAATGAAATTACATAATCTAATTCGAGTTCACATATTTTATCTTATAAGGGACATTCCTTTTTTACTTTATTGTCATGGAATATTGTCATGTTTATTCCTTCCTTTTATAATATACAAGTAGATTTCTGGTGGCCCTTCCAGACAGGTCCTATATCCCAGGATCTCATTCCAGATTTTCTATTTATCTCAGATAATCTGGCAGTGGAGACTCATATAATCAGGTTAAAAGCAGAAAACCTGGGATCAGATTCTGGGATATAGAACCTGTCTGAAAGGGTTCTGGGTGTGTCTCTATAGGAAGACATTCTTCGGTGATTTTATATCTCTTAGCTGTGTAAGTTTATATTTAAATTTTGGCAGAGAACTCTTTTCTGGAGTTTATTTGTTTGCCTTATTGCTTCCTATCTAGACAGCAATCTTGTGAGATACCATAGACCTCTCCAGAGTTTGATTTGAATCTCAACACTGAGATTTTTGTATTTGTTGATGGGAACTAGGCACAGCTCGATAATTCTTTTAGTGTTCTGGTTACTTAGCTGCATGATACTTTTGAAACTGAGATAAATAAGTTGGAATAGTAAGCTTTCATAGACTTAGATCTGCTTCAGTTGCATGGATTGAAGTGTAATGGAATATGCTTTTGCATACTGATGTAGATTAACACGACCATGTCTTTGAATTCTGAGTACGTGGGCATAGATTCAGATGAGGTGTTGATAATCATCAGGCTTGTTATAGATGATATACTATGGCCAGTGCTTTTACTTATAGTGTTCCTGAAAATATGGCTAGAGTGACACATCCATCAGTTAAATCTAAATTAGACTAGACTACTACAGTGTAATCTAGTGAGAGTGCCTTTAAAAGAGTACCTGTATTGGAAATTACAGCTCACCCACAATGATGCAGTCAGATCTATTGAGTAAGACTGGTTATAAGGGAATATGTTAATCCTTTGTTAATCTGCTATACAGGCTACCAGTTATTGCAGACTGCAATTCAAATTGCTTGTTATAATTTATAGTATTCTCTATATGGTATTGGTCCTCCATAGCACACGGTGGGGAAAACAACAAGCTAAAGCATAATCCTGACCAGATGAAAATATCACTGGTACATGGTTTATCTGCCCAGAGTGGTCCTGTTAATGAGTTCTGGATTTGGTTCTGTTACCTCTGTAGCAGAACACACACACACACACATATATACATACTTTAAGTTTTCTGGCTTTTTCCAGTGGGTGCTTGATACAGTTGTGGTAGCGGCGGCTCTTCTGCTATGTGGCTTGCCTGCCAAGGCAAAGAAAGCAAGGAGGTGGATGCTTCTTTCAGTCCCCTTTGCTCTCTCTCCAGTGGCTCTGTTGGGGCTACCCCATTGTAGCAGTCAGGGATCTCTGTTGCTGCGTGGAAGTGTCAGTGAGTCACTGTCACCGCCATTCTACCATAATAATAATAATAATAATCTTTATTTTTATGGCTCCCCTCTCCCCAAAGGGACTTGGGGTGGCTCACAACACAAAAACAATATACATTATATCAAACAAAAGGCTGTAAATCACAAACAAAACACAATAAATTAAAGATAATAAATGTAGTTAAACATAGTTAAAACATCCTGATGTTGCTACCAGCGAAGAGAGTAGAGGGGATTGGTGCTTCCTTTAGGTTCATCATGGATAAACTAAACTCTTCCCTTTGACTGCTGTATAGGTATTTATTTATTTATTTATCTTGTCAGGAGCAACCAGACATAGGCATTACCACTATATCTGTAGTAATCACCATTTTGTCTTTGGCCTCAGCTACACTGCCATATAAAATCCAGATTTTTTGCTTTAAATTGGATTATATGGCAGTATAGACTCATAATCCAGTTCAAAGCGGATAATGTGGATTATCTGCTTGGATAACTTGGATTATATAGCAGAGTAGAAGGGCCCTTAATGTCCTCTGAAAAACAGACCTTTACTTATATGTATTTAATGCTACAATAAATCCAAGTCTAAGCCTACAGTCCATCCAATCCTAACTATAGTAGGCATATAAAATAGAATAAACTAAATCCTGCAAAGAAAACAAGAGCTTTTTACATAGAATCATTCAATCTAAACATTCTTGAATGTGCAACTTGATCTGATAATTGTGTTGCTGCAAGAGAACTTGGTATCAGTGAAGAGCCTGTAAGATACTAGAGAGAGAGAAAGAGTCTGAAATGTAAGAAATGCCAAAGTCAAAAAGAAAGAGTTGTATCACAAGCATGCATCTTTTGCCTGGGTCTGCAAATGAGAACAAAAAGGCAATATTGTGATTCTAGCATTCATATAAGGTGGCAAAATGGCTGTGTTCTGGGGAAGAAAAGGTACCAAAAGGAAAGATTTGCTTCCAGACCTTGAAAGGTTTGTTGATATAAACATTTCTGTATCATTGTCAGATTTTCTGGTTTAAATTCAGGCTTACTTACCTTGTTAAAGTTAAAGGTTATAATCATCTATATCATTTTTTTACACTCCCCTAAGATTTATCCTGGATTTATCCATAGGTCATATAAAGATCCATACATTTTTCTGGCTCATGAGTTGTTTTTGCATTTTGTCCAAAGAAATCAGTGGTGCAGACATAAGTCTTTACCTCAGGAACTGTTGGATGATCAGGACTGATTGTGGTCTTGGCTGGATGTTGCATAAATTGCAGTACTAATGTCATTAACTTTACTAAATGTTATAGATAGGTCAAAAATATAAATGAAAATACGTTCTGTATTTCAGCTTATGCTACCAACATTGATTTTTGTATTGGATAAACAAATAAACAAACAGCTCACTTTCCGGTATGACATTGCCAAAGGTTATGTTCAAGGTGAAGAAGATATTAAATGTTTAATTGAACAGATTGCTGGCCACGAGAAAGTTTACATGGTGAGTACAATAATCATGTATTTTAAGGAGAATGGTAAGTTATTCTTCATTTGTATGATATTAAATGTCAAGAGCATATTTTGAGTAGATAAAAGTAACTTTTGTTTGCACACCAAACATGAGAATACAAAGGGAGACTGGCTGGGTCTGGGAGATTCTCAAATGAGCTTTTTAATAACTTCATGGTTAAGATATACAATCTCTAGAAAACATTTCCGTTTCTGGCAAGCAATTATATCCATGATACCTTCTACAGCACAATTCCTTTCTGCGCCATAATAGAAAAACGGCCCCAAATAATATGAAGCTCAAAAGCAACAAAATAAATACTTTCCAGCAGTGCAGGGAGACAATCCTTTAAAGTGGGTCTATCTTCTTCCTCAAACAGGAAAAGCATGTTATCAGTCAATCAAACTTACCACAAGTTCCAGTTCAGTCATGTCTGGGCAGTTCCACTTTGATGGGCTAGGTTAGTCTTGGTATCCCTGGGTACTATCAGAGCATACTAGTTTTCCTTTACTGCTTGCCATCCTAAGCTAGTAGGGGAATCTAGTAGTGGTTACAGAGACTGTGATATGTGAGTGAAATTCAACTTCAATCATCTTGGTACATTGAATGTTCTCACTTTCCTCCCCATTATAATTAATGGTTTGGAAATTCCCCGGAAGCTCTATAAATGGATCTCATTAATTGAGAGTCAAGCAGTAGAAGCTGAGGGTTTAGGTAGGTGGTTGGGACAGTGATAAATTTGCAGGCCAAAGAACCTAACACCAATCAGATTAAACCTGATAGATAAGAAATGTTAAAATCAATGTTGGAGAGATTTTCAAAAAATAGGCACATATATATATATATGTGGTGAACTTCCAAATATATACAACATTTTTGAAAAATGATATTTAAAGAGATAAGGGGGATAACAATTTGAGATAATGAGCACATCAGAAATAGCTTTATTGTTGATATATGATAATATTAAGATATTAAAATATCACAAGAAATAAAGGGGGTAATCTCCAATTTACTAACAACAGCGAGGCTGATCATAACTAAAATTGGAAATAAAGCATGATTTTCAGCTTGAAGATTGGTATAAAGAAGTATGGAATATAGTGATAAATGATAAAATGGCATGTGGTATTAAGATAAAAAGGGAAGATGGAAACTCATTGAGTTTTGGGAAATATAGGCAAAATTTATAGAATACTAGCTTGGGGACCCGGTGATGCCCAGGCTACTTGAGAAAGACATTGCTTGTTTTGGGAAGTTTGTTAATATCGCTGGATGCAACTTCCATATGGGCGAGTCATCCCCCCCCCCCCAAAAAAAACCCTCCAGTATGTTTGTTGGCATGGGTTATTTGAAAAAGGCACTGTTTGTTTGGGGTGTTAGGTAATATCAGTTTGGTAATTTGTAGCTGTATTTCATGTTGTTTTTTATTAATGCTCCCATTCGAAAATGCATAAGGATGTGGGTGAACTGCAATTCCCAAAATTGTGGGTCAATCACCCAAAACCCCACCAGGATTCAAAGTTGGCTATGTTGGATCTGTGTGCCAGATTTGGTCCAGATCCGACGTCAGCTGGGTTCAGTGCTCTCTGGATAAGGGTGAACTACAACTCCCAGAGCTGGGGACAGTCACCCCCAAACCAGACTTGTACACACAGACTTGGCCATGTTGGGTCTGTGTGCCATGTTTGGTCCAGATGTGATGTCGGCTGGGTTCAGGGCTTTCTGGATAAGGTTGAACTACAACTCTCAACATCAAGGTCCAGTCCCCCAAACCCCTGCAGTATGTTCAGTTGGTCATGGGGTTCTCTGTGCCAAGTTTTGTCCCAGTCCATTGTCGGTGGAGGTCACAGTTTCTCTGGATGCAGGTGAATTATAGATCAGCAATGGATTTACAGTTAGAGCCAGAGTTAGAGGTTTCTAGGCCTAATGTGTGTTAATTCTTTTAAATTTTGTTTATGTTCATTGTGGCATCGAATCGTGTCAGTGCAAGCGGCCTTGAGTCGCCTTCAGACTGAGAAAGGCAGCATAGAAATGCAATAAATAAATAAATGTTTAGGGGAACCAAGGTCATTTTCTGATTGGAATTTGGTAATTACAGATGTGTCTCCCCCCTGGTTCTTCCCGTTTCTCCTGAGATAGATAGAAGGAGGGCCATTTGTCAACAAAGACAAGAAAAGGAAGGGAGGCAGCATTCCCAGTGCCTGCTAATGAGAAGAGGCCCTGCAGAAAGTTCTCAGGGAAAACACCACAGTTTCTTAGGTATAAAGGAGGTCTGATTCTGTTGTAGCTCAGAGGAGTCAACATCTGGAATTCATGTTTCATGCTTCTAGTTTCCTCTCTCAAGTTTCCTCATGCTTTTTGGTATCCATGGTCTTGAGCCTCAAGTTTTCCTATGTGTTTTTGATATTAATGGACTCATGCTTCAAGTATCAAGATTGTTTCCTGGTCTCATATACTTTTGGAATTATGTTTTAGTTGCCAAGTTCCTTTGATCTCCTGGGTTGTTGTTTTTGATAAAGACTCCAGTTTTAAAATCTTGCATGTATCTTGTACTTATGGATTATTGCTTTTAAGTTTCTTCAAGTGCTTTGTTTTTTAAGGACTAAACTTTATATTAAATCTGATCTTTTTACCGTTTTTTGCTGAAGGGTTTACATTCTAAAATAAACTGCTTTGCTTTATAAACTGAGTGCTAGAGTGGTTTAAAGGTGCCTTTCCCAGCCCTGGTGTGCAACAGTCATGTGGAGTCTGTGTGTCAAATTTGGTCCAGGTCCATCATTCCTGGGGGTCACAGTGGGCTGTGGGAGGCAAATCGGGTGAAGGTACTGCATATCCTATCGTCCATGGTCCATCCTTGGCCAAACCACAGCAGGACGTATAGTGGGCCATGGAGGTCTGTGTGCCAAATTTGGTCCAGGTCCATTATTCGTGGGGGTTGCAGTGGCAATGTCAGTTGAGGGAGTGCCTTTGGAGGCTTCTCAGCACTTGGAACTATAGCCGGTCCGTAGAGGCAGGAGGCTGTCTGTGTAAGTGGACCTCTGCTACGTACACACATTTTCACTTTTATTATGTGTATAGATAGATGTGTTTGCCAAAGGGCAGGCGAGCAAACCTGCAGTGGAAACGATGTTTTAGAAATAATAATAGTAATAATAGCGCCAGGAGAGAGTGCTTCTAGAACATGGCCATACAGCCTGAAATACCTACAACAACCCAATATATTAAGCGGTCTGGTCCAGAGGGAGGTAGCACCCATTTTTATCTTGTGGAGTTTATTTTGCGGATAATATGTTAAAACTGGTAAAAATGTTGAAGCTTTAAAAAAAAATACAGATTTTTTAAATTTGCAATTTTTATAAGGCCTTACTGAGATAGACACTTTGAGTAACTAATGAAATATTTTCTAGTGCTAGCCAAAGGTCATTTATTGACGGTGATAGGATAGTGCTGTTTCTGTTCTTTTCCTTGGTTCTAGTAGCTCACTGGAATGACTGTCAAAGACTACAGAGAGAGAGAAAAACATTGTAAGGAAATATGTGTTTTTCTCTAACATAATTTTGTCCCATTTTTAACAGGAAATAACCAAAATATTGGAAACAAACAAACAAGAGGCTATGAAGGAGTTAGGTATGTGTTTAATGTGTTAGCATACATACCTATGACTGCATTTCATTTGGTACTTCTGTGGCAATACAGATTTTTACAGATTTCTGTAAAAAACAAACAAACCCTGAATTGATGAGATTCAAAATGCTAATGTTTTTATTATTCTTGCTAAAGTGAATTAATTCTATGATTGCTGATCCTTGTGTAGTGAGGGAGGTTTGGTATTAAGGGAGTAATCATAGAGACCATGAAAAACAAAATTAGATTGCTTACCTTCAATTCTGCTAGTTCGTGGAATCCCGTTAGTAGTCTTACAGGTCACCTAGTTCTGCCTGTGATCACTTGATACTCCCCTGTAGAAGCCATTGCATACAAACTGTTATGAGTACAGCTGACAATTTTGCAATGGGTAAGCAATCTGTTTTTCTGTTAAGTTGGTGTAGCGAATTTTTTGATCTATGTTAAATTTTTGATGTATAGCTCTATGTTGCAATGTGGCAGAATTGGCACAAATAGGATAGCAACAGTAGAGGCAAGATTAATTTGCATACGTGTAGCCGATTGGTTGTATGCAGAAGAGTGTAGGCCAGGATTTAAAAAGGCCACTGAGCCAGAATGGCAGTTGGGGAGAAGAGAACTGAACATTCCAAAGGGGCGGAGTTAAGTTTAAAAATAGGCAGTTAGAGAGTCAGAAAAGATTCAGTTAGGGATTCATGTTTGTGTAGTAGAGTTAGGGATTGCTGTTTGTGAGGTACAGTTAGGAACTTCTGTGAGAGAAAAAAAGTTAGGAAAATAAAGAAGTGCCAGTGTTGTTTAAGGCAAAATATAGTTCTGTCAAAAGTGTATGATTTGAAACAGTTGAAGTTTGATAGGAAAAGTTAACCAAGTGAATGATATTGAATGTAAGATTTCAAGACTGTAACAGAACACACAAATGTAACAATAAGCGTTGGAGCCAGAAGCTATAAATAAACTCTGTTACTTCGTTTACTACAAGAGTGCCTCAAGCTTGTGATATAAAGCCTCAAAGTAAAAGCTCACAAGACAGCCAATTTTAAAGGGGAACTGTTTCAATACAAGGCAGTAAAAAGATTTTAAAAGTAAATATCCCCCCCCCCCCCGCATCGACACACATAAAAGGCACCTGTAAAAGGATTGAAGTAGTGATACGTCGTCCCAGTTGGCAATAGCTTCTATTCTGTTCCTGGGCTCATTTGGAGTGTTAACTATTATTTAGAAAGCCATAACAATTTGGGACTGGGATACAATCAGAGACTTTATTCCATGTTCCGTTTCCTTTGGAAATGCAGTTGATTGAAAGATTGTAGTATTGCTTCAAAGAGCATGGATTGTTATAAGATTTTCTGGTGGGTAGTCAAGACTCTCTTATTTAAAGTATTTTATTGAGCATTTTCAATTGGCTGTTCTGGAAGTGAATGGGATACTTTTTGCCAGGTTTTTAAAGGTTATGTGGTAAAAAATTGGACTCTTTAACATTTTCTGTACTAAATTTTGGCAACAGCTGTAGAAATTTGACAGTGGCAGTGACATAGCCCTTGGTATCTTATTGTGAATTGCTCTTCTTTCTATTTCCTGAAAGAAATTGAATCTCTTTCTTACTATTCTTGCAAAATAGACAATGTTTTTGTTTGTTTTTAGGGCTAATGCAACGTGATTACCCAGAGATAGTTACCGCTGTGAAAACCAGACAAGCAGTTCAAACAGTGCTGAACACAGCTTCAGAAACCCTTAAGTTTATGATATCAGGAGGTATTGTTGATAAAAATGAAGGAGCTGAACTGCATAAGGTAATCTGTAAAATCAGTCCTCATACACCTATGCATGCCATTTACATATTATGGCATGTTTCATTATTTCAGTATATCTTACGAAAGGGGAAGGAATGCTTTCATTTCTGTGGGATTTACTTTCATGTGGGAAAGATGAGGGAGAAGCATGACAATTATCCCTGTGGTCTGGGAAAACATGAGCCGAAGAAAGCTGTCTGTTTCACTAAGGCAATGATTGAACTTTGGCTGAAGAGAATTGGCTTTATTTTCCCTGTCTTTCTCTCAGCTCGGAATACTTCAGTCCCCATTTACCTTTTTTACATGGGAAAATACTATTGTGAACTGGAGACAGATATTATTTCTGAAACATGTTTTGTCGAAGGCTTTCATGGCCAGAATCACTGGGTTGTTGTAGTTTTTTTGGGCTATACGGCCATGTTCTAGAAGCATTGTCTCCTGACGTTTAACCTGCATCTATGGCAGGCATCCTCAGAGGTCGTGAGACTTCACAACCTCTGAGGATGCCTGCCATAGATGCAAGCAAAACCAAAAAAAACCTACGACAAACCATTGCTGAAACAATTTTCATTAACTAAATGTGACTTCTCTTTTTCTTGTTTAGATGATTCTTGTGAAGAAAAAACAGCTTGCAAAACTCCCACCTACAATTGCACCACCTACTGCACAGCAACTTCTGCATAATGTTATGTGGCTACAGGATAACAAAAACCAGATTGAGTATATTCAGGTAAGGTTTAAATAGTTGAAGATATCATTGAACTATCTTCATTTGTTTAAAGCTATTACATAATTTCAATTTCAGTATCTGATATTATTTTATTATTTGTACAATATGTTTTCCATTTATCAGGATTATCTTTTCACACCATTCTGATCACTGTTATGTACCTTCAAGTCAATTCTTACTTAGAGTGACCCTATTGTGGGCTTTATTGTCAGAATTTAGTCAGATTTTTATCACTGCCTTCCTGTAAGGTTGAAGGTGGCCTTTCAAGTGTTTTTCTGTGCACATCTGGTCTCCTGGAGTCCTAGTCCAACAACCAAAGCAGATACGATAAATTTGGTTTGGTGTAATCTAATTATACAATCATTTCTTTCTTTGTTTTCCTTTACTATATACTATTTTTAAAGCACCTTAAAAAACCCTTAAAATAAATTTTGTATCCCGATTTTCTGTCTTTCTCTGGAGTGGTGAGAGGAGGAATCCATATAATTTGGTTTCCTGTTATCCCCTCCCAGAGACAGAAGAAGTAGTTTCACAATAGCTGAAATAGACTTAATTGATTCCTCTCCTCTGGTCATCTTAGAGACCAGTTTTTTTTCCTGTATCCAGGAAAAAGAACTTTTCTGTTGCTTTTGAATTTTGGCTTTTTTATGTATTAACTCCTCTGCAGTTTAAGGAGGATGACATGTTTTCTGATAAGGAGGAAGAAGAATAGTCAGATTCTTTGTGTGTAGCAGGACCTTCAGATGTGTGATGAACTGTGATGAGACTACCTTGCATTTCTTGGAGGTTATAAAGAAACACAGACCTGTAAGTGATCTGTGGTCACCTTGATAATTCTGTAAAGCCCCATAGAAGGAAGGGCTTAGGCTTGGGTATAGGCTTGGCTCCAACTAGCTCCCTGGAGGTTGAAGGGAAAACACTAATGCAATGTGGATATGCTGAACATTATTATTTCGCAAGCAATCCACAACAGGAATTTATGAAGCCACATGGAAGATTTTCACTATGTGGTATTAATCCATTCATTATAAACTCCTCCTGTCTCACACCTCCTTGCTTTCCTATAGAGAGGTTAGGACTTGGCCTTAGACATGATACTGTGAAGAGACAAACAGCTGCCCACTCCTCAGTTCTTTCTAAAGTCCAGGGATCCCTTTTTCTTTTCTTTTTTCTCTTTTCTCTTTTCTTTCTTTTCTTTTTTTTTTTTTGATAAATATGTATTGAATTTTATAATTTGTAACTGACATAACAAACTGACAAACATTTTTATTCTCATTCACATGCATGAAGGTTCCTTTTGGGAACTATAATCACATCTTCACAAGGTACCATTTTCCAGTGTGGTTTTAAAGCTGCTCATGATGAATCTGTTTGAACCACTTAGAAAAGTTTTCTTAGGCTTCTCTCAAAGGTTGCATTTTGGGTAGCCTTCATATTTGTTTGCTGTATTACAACTTGAAGCTCTTTTGTTTAGGAAGCACCTTTAACAAGGTCTGTGTTTCTGTCTGTTCAGATCCTTCTTTTATGGCTAAACTGCTTTTCACTTTCACATATCCCAGGAACTCATCCTTCCTTTTGTCTATTCTGACCCATGGCACTCCCAAGAGAGTTTATGGCAAATTTGCATGTGTGCATCGTGCTAAAAGTTTATATTTGCAGAACTACGAGCTTACAGCACTGTGACTGATTATGTCTTTCAGTTCAGGTTGCCTTAGTCCAAAATAGCCACAAGGATTGACATATGACTTGGCTAAAAAAATTAATGCGAGTGCACTCAACCAGACCAGTCACTATGTTGGCAGTGTTTTCCACTCTAATCCTTTGGCTATTTTTCCTTCATTCATCATCACAGCATTACATTGAAGTCAATGGATGCTACTTTTGAAAGAAGAGTGCTGCAGGAGATGATTAACACTTAGGATACAGACACTTCCTTATCCGATAAGGTTGAGGGCTTGGATATGTCCCATTGTGCTGACTCCTGTTCTTGCCATCCTGAAGAACACCACATTTGATACTTACCATGAAGGTGTATTGTGAATTTTTAAGAGGAGCTATCCATCCCTTCTTAGCATGACTGTTCATCTTGTTTTTCTTTCCTTTCTTTCTTTTATCCTGATTTCTGAGGTTTGAAGCTTGATTGGTAAGGGAATTGGTCTCTAAAATAGCTGAAGGAGATGGCTCAACAAAGTGTGTTTCAACTATCATGCAATCATATTTTTTCTTTCTTCTTGTCTTTGGGCAGTGATGGCAGAAACTCAAGTTGGTTTTTGCATCACTGCACTTGTGAAGGTGTATTCTCATTTTCTCAGCATTTGTAATACATTTCCATAAGTACCCAGTGTAGTATTATCTCTCTCCACTCAACAATATTCTACATATTCTGTGCTCTTTAGTACTTCCAATTTATTTTATGTTTTCAGAAAAAAGCAAAAATTCTTTATTATGACTATGGAGATATCATATGTGAGGAAGGTGAATTACCCCAAGGAATTCATTTAATTGTTTCAGGAATGATTAAGGTAAGATTTAGTTACAGTAGACTAAATAACCAAGATTTTAACCAACAGAATGGAAATGAGCATAATTTAAGATAATGTAGATTTACCCTAATTAATGCAGTTTGACACTGTCAGTGCACCCCAGAAAGAGAGAAGAGTGGATTATTTGCATATCGTTTATGCAGTTGTCTCCGAAAGTATCATTTGTCTGTTTGGAGAATGGACTGTAGTTTTGTTTTTTTTAAAATATGTTTATTTGGAATATTTTGCTCATAGAGGAGCTGATAGAATAGAAGTGTGTTAATATAAAGAGACGATACAAACAAACGAACAGACGTATGAATGAATAGACTAACAAATGACTAAATACAATACCACAACATATCGACAACAACACTTACCTACACCTATAGATATTCCCCAAAGTGTGATTAAAATACTTCTAGGATCTGCTGGGCAGGTTCCGGGGAGCAAACTATACTTGAGTCCCCTTTTCTTTCTTTTTTTTAATTGTCTAATCTGGTAATGGTGTAATCGCCGGTTTCATATTGCTATACCTTCAAGTTTCTTCAGTGTGTAGTACTGATATATATTCCATTATTCTGCCCTTTTATATATTTCAAAAAACTCCCCCAGTTAGTCTTGGGGGGTTTAACTGTACTCTGTGATATTTTGTGAGTTAGGATGTCCGTATTCATGATGTCCCATATTTTCAACAACCATTGCTCCACTGTGGGTGCTTCCTTGGATTTCCATACTCTGGCTGCCACTGTTCTCGCAGCGGTGGTAAAGTAAAATAACAGTTTTTCTGAATTCTTATCTTTAATGGAGTCGATGATTCCCAACAATATTACCTCTGGTTTTAGATTTATTCTTTCCTTTAAAATGACTTCCATTATTTTTTTAGTTTCACACCAAAAGGTCTTGATCTTTTTGCATTTCCACCACATGTGGATGTAGTTTCCTTTTTGTTTTCCACACCTCCAACAGACATCACTGATTCTACCTCTGCTGAACTTGGATATTTTATCGGGCGTAAGATACCATCTGTAAAAAGATTTATACCAGTTCTCCTTCATCTCAGCTGCATAGGTATATTTTATTTTATTGCGCCAAACTTCCTCCCATTCTGTCATGTGTTTTGATCTTCCTACATCTTTAGACCATTGTATCATAACTCCCTTTACCTGTTCTGTTTTGGTAGCCCATGTTAACAGTTGTTGGTATACTTTTCTGATTATTTTCTTTTCTGATTTCATTATCTTATCCCAGAAAGTTTCTTGCGTTTGAAATCCCCTTTTCACATCTATCTTAAAGTTTTCTAGTATTTGGTGGTATTGAAACCAAGAAATGGTTTGATCTATTTGTTTAATTTCTTCCTGGGATTTGAGTTTTATCTCCTGTGGGCTTATCTTTAATAGTTGGGCATATGTTAGCCAGAGTTCCCTAGGTAGCTCCCTCAAATGGAGTGCTTCATTAGGCGCGAACCAAAGGGGGGTCTTGCTGTATAGCCTATCTTTGTACCTATTCCATATTTGCAGAAGGGGGGCTCTGGTTGGGTGGTTTCTAAACTTTTTTTCCTTCTCTGCTTTTCCCCTCCACAAATATCCATGCCAACCCTGCGACAGGTCGAAGCCTTCCAGAGCCAGTATTTTTCTTTTGTTCAGCGTCATCCAATCCTTCGTCCACCGCAGGCCTGCTGCCTCGTAATAGAGTTGCAAGTCGGGAAGGGCTAAGCCTCCTCTTTTCTTGTCATCGGTCAGGTTTTTATGGTTTATCCTCTGTTTTTTGCCCCTCCAAATGAATTTAGAAATCTCTTTTTGCCATTTACTAATTAGGGTTTTAGATTTTAAAACAGGTAACGTCTGGAATAAAAATAAGGCGTCCGGAAGAATGTTCATTTTGACGGAGGCAATCCTGCCTAACAGAGAAAGGTTTAGGCAGTTCCATGAGGTCATTTTCTTCTTCATTTCATTCCACTTCTTTTCGTAATTGTTTTTGATCAAATGTGCGTTGTTTGTTGATATAGTTATCCCTAAATATTTAGTTTCTTTTACTGTTTTGATTCCGGATGTTTCCTGTAATTTTAATTTATCTTCATCTATATATATAAATTTGTTAGGGGCATCCAACGAGGAAACAAAACTCAAAACCCCCCCAACGAAACTTAACCAAAATTCCCATGCCCATAACACAACCCACAAGGTACAAACATATCTACTCAAAATGAAAAACAACACAACAACACACTCACAAAACGGCAAAACAACAAAACTCAAAAACCCAACGAAACTTAACCAAAATTCCTATGCCCATAACACAACCCACAAGGTACAAACATATCTACTCAAAATGAAAAACAACACAACAACACACTCACAAAACGGCAAAACAACAAAACTCACAAACCCCAACGAAACTTAACCAAAATTCCCATGCCCATAACACAACCCACAAGGTACAAACATATCTACTCAAAATGAAAAACAACACAACAACACACTCACAAAACGGCAAAACAACAAAACTCAAAAATCCCCCAACGAAACTTAACCAAAATTCCCATGCCCATAACACAACCCACAAGGTACAAACATATCTACTCAAAATGAAAAACAACACAACAACACACTCACAAAACGGCAAAACGATAAAACTCTAAAAAAACCAACGAAACTTAACCAAAATTCCCATGCTCATAACACAACCCACAAGGTACAAACATATTACTCAAAATGAAAAACAACACAACAACACACTCAAAACGGCAAAAAACAAAACTCAAAAAAACCCCAACGAAACTTAACCAAAATTCCCATGCCCATAACACAACCCACAAGGTACAAACATCTACTCAAAATGAAAAACAACACAACAACACACTCACAAAACGGCAAAACAACTGAGCATGCGCATTGGCGCCCAGCCGCAAGTTCCCTGGCGCGCACACATGCCCTTCCGGCCAACGTTCCCTCTGCGGAAACCATGCCCACTCCAAGCCCCGCCGCGCCGCTTCCCGCACACACACACACCCCTGCCGCACATACACACACAACCCCACACTCCATCACTCCCCCCGCCGCACAAACACACGCAACCCCACACTCCATCACTTCCCCGCCGCCGCACGCACACACGCAACCCCACTCCCCCCGCCACCGCACACACACACACAACCCCACGCCCCACCACTCCCCCCCGCCGCTGCACACACACACACAACCCCACGCTCCATCACTCCCCCACCCCAATCTTACCTCCTTTTACTTCACGCCACCTCCAAACCCCACCCTGCCCCTTCCCGCCCTGTCAAAATCTAGGAAAGACAGGAAGGAAGGAAAGAAGGAAGAAAGAGAAAGGGAGGTAAAGAAAAAGGGGGAAGGAAGGAAAGTTAGAGAAAGAAGGAAGAAGAAAAGGAAAGAAAGGAAAGATGGAAGGAAAGAAAAGAGAGACAGCAGAAAAGAAAGAAAAAGGGGGAAGGAAGGAAAGAGATAGAGAAAGAAGAGGAGAAGGAAAGATGGGAGGGAAGGAAGGAGAGGAAGGAAAGAAGGAGAGAAAGAGGGAAGATTGGCCACAGCAACACGTGGCGGGTAAAGGTTGTTATTTCTATTATTATTATTATTATTATTATTATTATTATTATTATTATTATTATTATTATTATGCTATTGTTCCTATGAGACCCTGGAGGAATGGGAGAGGTGTCAGGTCCCAGAGGCAATGCATTGCATTATTGTTATTGTTATGATGGTGGTAAAATAAAAGGAAATAAAAAGTGAAAGAAGGAAGCAAACAGGGAGGGAAGAAAGGCAAAGGAAGAAAGGGGGAGGGAATGAAGGAAAGAGAGAAGGATGAAACCAAGTAGTGAAAGAAAGAAAGAGGTAGAGAAGGAAGAAAGGAGAGAAAGGGGGAGGAAAAGGGGGAAGGAATAGGTAGGACCTCTCTTTCATAATAGTCCAGATATCTACCTCAACTTTGATAAGTTTTACTATAAGCCACAGCAACGCGTGGCAGGGCACAGCTAGTTCTTTATATTTTTAGTGATTATTTGTGTCTTGTCTTTGTTTATTTTAAATCCCGAGACTTCTCCAAAATCGCCTATTTCTGTTAACCATTTGTTTATGTTCTCTAGTGGGTCCTCCATGAAGCAGACTAAGTCATCCGCAAAGGCTCTGGTTTTAAAGATATATTTCTTAACCTTGAGTCCTTTCAGTTCCTTGTTCGTGGATATTCTCTGAAGAAGAACTTCTAGTGTTAAAATGAAGAGTATTGGGGATAGGGGACACCCCTGCCTGGTGCCTCTCTGGATTGCTATGTGTTCTGATTGTTGCCCATTTATTGTTATTGTAGCCTGTTGGTGGGTGTAAATGGCTCTAATTGCATTTAAATATTGATGTCCTAGATCCATTTCTCTTAGTAAGTCTATAATGAAATTCCAGTTGACGTTGTCGAATGCCTTCTCGGCATCCAAAAACATCAAGGCAGCTTTTTTCTGGTTGTTTTTCTCGTAGTAGTCGATCACGTTAATTACAGTTCTGATGTTATCACTTAGCTGTCGTCCTGGAAGGAATCCTACCTGATCTTCTTCTGTTCTTGATGTTGCCAATTTGGTTAGTCTTGAGGCTAGTATTGCTGTGAATATCTTGTAGTCTGTTTGGAGTAATGATATAGGGCGGTAGTTTTTAACCGATGTACTGTCTGTGTTGTTTTTGTGGATCAGTGAAATTGTCGCAGACTTCCAATTTTTTGGAAGTTCTCCCTCTTCCATGGCTCTATTCATAACTTTCAGGAGTTGTGGAGTTAGTATGTCCTCGAAGGTTTTGTAGTATCTGGTTGTGAGGCCATCTGGGCCCGGGGCTTTGTTTGTTGGAAGGTTTTGAATGATCTTGTGGATTTCTTCTTTAGAGATTGGTTTGTTCAGATTCTCTCTTTGGTCGTCTGACAGTCTTTGTATGTTTTGTTTTCCTAGATAGTACATTATTTTTTCTCTTGGGATCTTTTCATCTTCGTAAAGCTTTTTG